CCCCGCCACGCCGGCGGCTGGGCAACCGCAGGGGCGCCCCACCGGGGACGCCGGGACCCGAACAAGCCGGGACCCACAACGCACCCGGAGCGGCAGGGGCCGCGTCAGAGCCAAGCCGCCGTTTCCGGCGCCGTCGAGGCCTGCGCTGCGGCGGGAGACGCGGGGCCAGAAGGTGAAGGAATCCCGCACCAAGGAGACGTCAGGGCGGCGCTGGAAGGAAGAAGCCGCTGCCGCCGCAGAGTGACAGGAGCGCGGTCACGTGAGCAGAGGCACGTGACCGCCGAGCGAAAGCGGAAGCCGGGAAGGCCCAAAACAGCCGGCGGAGGGGCGTGGCCTGGTGAGGAGCGTGATCTGCGGAGGGGCGCGGCCTGTAGGGGCGTGGCCCGTAGAGGGGCGTGGTCGGGGAGGGACCTGCTGCGTCCCGGGAATCCGAGAAGCGACGACCCAGAGGTCAGCCCCGGAAGGACACCGAGCCCGACCCAGCCGGCCTGCGGCCAGACGGAGCCGGGACCCGCGCCCTCAAGCCCAGAGCGCCGTCTAGGACAACTGAGGACCTGGGTTTGGGAACCAGATCGTGCTTTTGGAAAGGTTAATTCAGTGCCTTTGAATAGCTTGGTTTTTGCTTCTCCAGGGCTAAAGCAAACCCTCCTGAGCTGTGAGTACCCAGCACCTTGAACGCGAGCGCTTCCTCTCTGCGCTCTGAGAGCAGGTGCATTCCCAGCCCGCTGTGAGCGCTAGGGACTTTTCCCCCGTCCTTCCACCCCGGCAGGTCTTTCCCTGGCCGCACCTCATTCCTCCGTCAGGGCACTGGGCCGTGCGCGCAGCATTGTCCCGGGTCCTCTGAAGCGCATCGGATCCCCCGGCTGCGCCCGTCCACCGCTGCCTGGAAACCGCGAGCTGTAGCCGCCCTGGCCTCTCCGGACCCCGGCTCGATCTCCTCACCTCCAGGGACACCAGCCTCGCCCTGAACCACGGACTGCACACTCTCCTAGCAGCTACCAGGGTATCCACGAGGCTCACGTCAATTTTTTTTTCTTTGTCCGTTGTTGCTGCCCTTTGTTGCTCATGCACAAGGTCTTTGGTACCCTTTTTTCATACGCTTAAATTTATTAGCTATTCCACCTGGAAAGGTAAAGTAGATTACTGTCATCATACCTTGACAAGGAATGGAAATTGGATTTTGTTTTGTTTTGTTGTTGTTGTTTGTTTTTCTTTCGGTACCAGGAATCAAACTCACGACCTTGAGGTTGCCAGGCAGGCGCTGTGCCGCGGAGCTAAATCCCCAGCCTCCAGAAGTGGAAATTTGAAAGCAAATTCAAGGAAAAAAAACTTTCACAGAGGGTGAGGCAGAAACTGATGATACACCAATAAGCGCCCCAGAGTGAAACTGGAAATGGTATTTTACAAACCGGAAAAATAACGCTCTGGTGGCACATGGTCTCAGCTACTTGGGAGACTGAGGCAGGAGAGTCGGTAGTTCAAGGCCAGCCAGGCAGCACAGGAAACACAGGCAACAATCGAGACCCTGCCTCGTTTTTTTAAGAAAGAAAGAAAAGAAAAAAACAGTAAAATATTTCGTGCTTTACTTCCAAACCAAGAAGCAAATGACAAGCTTTCATGAAAATACATTCATTTTGGTTTTTTATTCTCAAAAGAGCCTTCCCTTGGTCTTCCTCCAGAATTCTGCATTTTCCCATATTAACATTATTTTTAATTCACATATAAGTAGCTTGCACTGTTGCAATATCAAATGCGTATCTCAGTGCCTCTGGTGTTGGAAGAAGTCTTCTTGCACTTTGATGCAGTTTAGATGTTGCCTCTCAGAGGAGGACCGTGTGTGAAGGCTTGGTGGGCTCGGGGTACTGGGAGTTGCTGTGGACTTAGAAGAAGAGAGAGCATTTATGGGAGATCCTCCACTCACTGGGGTTGTTGTACTCTAAGAGAACTGTGGGACCACAGCCTCTTCCTTTTCCCCTTTCACTTCCTGGCCATGAGGTAGAGGGTTCTCTACCACACGCCCTTTTATTCCCGCCCAGCGTCCTTCACAGAGGCCCCAGGCAATGGTCTGCCCGCTCTTAAACCCGAGCCTCTAAAATGGTGTGCCAAAATAAACCTTTTCTCTTAAAAGGTAATTATCGCAGGCATTTTACAGTGAGGACACACATTCATGTGATGGCGGGTGCCCTGAGGAGCAGAATCAATGTCAAATCGTGGAATTTATACAACATATTAGAAATCGTGAGATGTCAGAACATCTCAAAATAAGATAAGGACTTAAACTAAGCATGTGGAATGCCAAATAACAAAATCTTCCTTACCACTTTTATTAATAACTTATGGTTGAGAATAGGATTATACTGGGATATATGTGGTGATATGTTCACAGTCTGTCAGACTTCTCTTACATATTTCAAGGGATTAATACCTGGGTTGTTTTCGCTCTTAAATTTTATGACAGGATAACTTGTTACTGCCGTCAGCTAACACAGGTGTAAAGTTTCTTTCTGTAAGTTTCTGCTTATTTTTTCTTGATGCCTACCAGCGCAAAGACGTTAGCACAATACATCTGAACAAAACTGGTGTCTGTTTTCTGGAAGTTGACCTGGGTGTCTAAATAAAAAGCCAATAATATATTAAAGCCAATAATATAAGACATGTTGAGTTTGCGGTTCATATAAAATAACCAGACAGGGTTAGAGCAGTCAGTGCTCAGCTGTCCAGAGCGCTCATCCCAGAACACCGCCTAGGACTCTGGCGCCCGAACCCAGGAAAGCCAGAGAGCGCCAGGTCCCGACTGACGGAGGAGAGGGCCCCACGCAGCGCTGCCTTGGCTGGGCTGTCTCAGGAACCCTCCCCGCGGAGCATGGTGGCAGCATCATTCAGTGTTCGCAGAGAGAGGTTGGAGACGTCGGGGCAGACACCCGAGATGAAAGATCAGATGTCTTCGGTTGGCTCAGAGCTTACTAATCTCAAGGGTTTAGTCTTCTCTCTTTTTTAAAATAAAGGTTATTGTATCTGTATGAGGTATAAAGCACCAAGGTATTTTTCATTAGTTACAATTTGTCTATAAAACTGATGAATGAGAACTATAAAACGGCACCACCTACCTAAACTGACTGGTGAACAGAGGTCAGCAAGGCCCTGGCTACCAACAGGCTCACATGTACAGGTTCTTTTTCCTGGTCACTACCCTGACACAGCATAATATAATAATTACTTATGTAGCATTTACCTTCTGATGGGTATCATGAGTGATCTAGAGAGTACGTGAGCAGAAGAATGTGCGTAGGCTATATGCAAATGCTGTACCCTTTTCTATGAGGAACTGGAGTGTCTTCAGATTGTGGCATTTGAGGGTCCTGGAAGCAATTCTTTGTATGAATATGGAGGGCACGTGTATACATATTAGAACATAGGTATATGCAAATATTGGGCTGCAGGTAACAGGTAAGGCAACTCAACCTGGCCTAAATAATGAGGAAGTGTGTTAGTTGACAGAATAGCTGTGCTAGCATTACGGCGAGCTTCATGAGTGGTTGACTCAACCACTCAGTGATGGCATCAAACTCCCAGACCCTTGCTTTATCTCCGTACTGTCACCTTCATAAAAAGACCCCTCCTTAGCGGTGAAGACTACATACTTGCGCATTTATATCTGAGGAGAGAAAGTGACTCCTTAGAGCTCATTCTTAAAAGCAGAAAAATCTCATTTTGCAATCTCCAGCATCCTCGCCTATTTGTCATTGGCCTAACCCAATGGAGACACCCCGTCCTCCTCGGAAAGAAGGATGTGATGCTAAGACTCGGTGAACTGTCCAGGCTGCTGTAAATGATGGAGACTCTGAATATAACACAGGCACCGCGAGAGACTGTGAGGAGAAAATCATTACACTTTGTGATAGCTGACGGACTGTGCCAACTCGAGTACAAAAGAGCCAGCTAAGTGGATCGGTGCAGTCCTGGGTGACCGAGGGGATGTACTGAAGACGAAGGCCCGCTCCGGCAGGCTTCTCGCATGAGTGGAACACAGGGGAGACGAAGCCGTCTGGCTTCTCAGAGGAGCGCCAGCCTTCACCTTCCCCTCCAGTCCACCACCGTCTCCTGGCTTCCAGCACAGGTTCTCCAGCCTCCTGACCCGGACTCGCACGGACGCTCCAGCACACACACGGTCCTTTTGCACTTCACACCTGATTCTGCAGGCGGCCGTTGTAAGCCTATTTTGTAAACCCTTATATATTTGTATATCGTGCCTTAAATTCTGTTTCTCTAGTAAGTGCGGAGAACCCCTGGAAGGGCTCCCACTGAAAGAAGACGATCTGTCTCCATTTTCATTCCCCTTTGCCCTGCTTCCATGGACTGACAGGCAGAGCTGGCTAGGGAGATGCTCTACCCTCTCCATTGGCTTTCAGCAATGCAAACGGGTCCAGCTGAGGATCTGATGTGTAGCCTTGGAAGCAGCGTGACAGGTCAGTGATGCCCGCCTATAGCTCCCTACTGCTAAGTGTGAGCTAAGCTGAGAGACACTGTGCTGTCAGCTGGGATGGAGCTTCTGGAAGGAGACAGTGAGATCCCAGGGCAGTGAAGACCAGACATCAGAGCTGAAGTAGCCAACCCAAATCACAGGATACTCCCTCAAACGGTGTTAGGCAGATTCCTCCAAACTTAGAGGCTAGGTGTACGGAATCCAGTGATCTTTCTGCAGACCTCTCTCTCTGCATGTTGCAGAGGGGCCATTGTGCCTTCTACCTAGCCCAGCTCACAGTACTCACACAGTTCCCATCATCCTCACAGGTACTCAACGCCGAGCCACTTGCCTCCTCACAGATTAACAAAACCCAGGTTTGGCCCTGGGTCATGGCCTTTGTTCTGGGTAGCCATTGTTCCCCCTGGGCTTTGGGCCCCCTTGGCTCCCCACAACTGCAGATATGTCTTTGTCTCTTTTCTCTCTGGGTTGCACTAGAAGTGGTAGATTGGAATTTACTTGCGAGAGTTCCAATAACTTTCCCCTGGGATTACAACTTATACACTCCTCCAGACAGTGCCGAGGTTTGGGGTACATATAGTAAGCACTGACTCAGGCACACTTGCTTTTTGTGTGCTTGCAGTGTAATGTTCTTCTTAATAGTTCTGATGGTCAGGAAACATGTGAGTTAGCCCAGAGGTTGCATATTGACTTTTAATAACTTTCTCTCTAAATATACTTTTTAAAAAAGATTAGACCTAAATGTGTACATATCCTCTATATTTCCTATCCTCCCTTCCTCTAGTAATTCT